TTTATAGTTTCGTTAAAAAAGAATAAGCCAATGAGTCAAACGTGTTGAACTTATCACGATTCGGACATGTGAAACGAGTATGCTTATATAAATCTGTTATGTATCGATATACGTCAATCGAAACGATCGCATAATAATTTAACAATTAATTTATTATTGTATTATATATAATATATAGATGTTGTTGTAATTTAATTAATGTGAAAGGGCGTGTAAGTCGTGTACAAAGTGGACCGAGAGTGCGTTAAGAACTGAAATATTTTGCCGGATTTTAATATTGTATTTCGTTTTTTTTTTTTTGCGCCGCGGTATCGAATAGCTGAAGCGATACATAACGGGTCCAGCGGAAAGCGGCGCGTGTTTTATCCCGTACCGTTTTTTTTTTAGTCCTCTGACTATGCGATCTTCGATCGAGTGATTAAGCGATCGGCTGAAAAGCGCGATACGTTAATTTTTATATTGTGCGTGTCACTAAGTAAGTGTCACTGTCGTTAAGTATTATTTATTGGTGAAAGTGGAGGCCGTACGCGTCCGTCCGCGGAGAAACCTCCCAAGTCTGTCTGTTCGTCATTTCGTTTTATTTTTAATTAGCTCTCTTAATACAGCAAAGGTGCGCCGCCGCATCACAGACGCACCTGCGACCCCGGCAACACCTGCGACGGTCGACAATTTCGGCGAGACCGGCGTTCGCTTGGGATATTTTCTAAAATTTCATCATTAACTCGCAACCATATTATTAGCACTAAACTTATATTAATTTTGCGAACGCGTGCAAAATATTAAATGTCGTAGGAATTTTCCTAATTAGTCCTATACAACATAGAACAATTATTACGAACGGAAAACATATATTATAGTTAATACCGTTCAGCAAAGATATTTTACGTTTACGAATAAGTTACAATTGGTTTATCAACTTTTTGTATGCGATTTTATGTAATAAATGAAAAATACGACCGCCGTAATTGATTGTAAAATTACCCGAGTATGTAAACTTAAATTAGTGAATTAATCAAAACAATTGTCAGAGAAATTTGCGTTCGAACGATGAATACGATTTAATGTGAAACTGCGAACAATTTTATGTAAATATATTCGAGCAAGTAGTGGTCGCGCAATTTCTGTTCTGTAACTTCGAGATGCCCGATCACGATAACAATACAAATCCAAAGACGCGCAAGATGGACTACACGAATACACAACAGATTTAGTAATAAAATAGTAACGTTTATAATTTATATTATATACGAACAGTCACAACTGTACACAAGCCAAAGAGGTGGAACTAGTAAAGAAGAGACAGAGAGACAGACAGAAAGAGAGCGTATGTATGTGTGCGAGAGGAAAAAAATTTTCAGGCATTTAATATTAATTGTCTTCATCGGACGTCATTATTCATCAAGACATCGCCATTGTCATTCTTCATCTTTTATCATTGTCGATGAATTGATTAATTATTCTTATAATTGTCATCATTATTGTATCATTATATATATATAAATATATATATATTGTACAAAACGTGATAACTACAAATCCTCGCTTAGATAATTCGCATAGTAATTTTCTGTACACATTCGCCGCGGCAGAAGAAAAATACAATGGTATTTAAAAGATTCAATTGATATTATTTTTTTATACCTATGACCAAATAGAGCGAATTTTGTCGTACAAATGTAGAACTAGACTGCAAACTACGAAAATTACACATTCTTTAGCAATAAGAAGATAAAAATTCGTCAACTTTTAAATCTGTATCTCAACAGTAACGATTCTATGAAAATATATGTCAATTTGTTACTGTTGAAATAAAGGTTTTTAAATATTAGACAACTTTTTGGTGTTTACGACATTTCTTATCCTTTCTTTACTTAACTTTTATTTTAAAATCTTTTAAAATGTAAAAAATATATTTATACAGACTGTAGCATTTTATTTTTTTAATTAAAACTATATATATAAAATTTTAATTTATTAAAAACTTTGTTTTTTTGTTGATTTGCAATTAGATAAAACGCCATCGATATTGTATATTATTATAATTTAACAAAAATTATTATTGTTATAATTTTGTTAATATCAATGATTATTGCCTTTTACAAGAATATCTTGTGTATCATTTAAAAAAAAAGATAGTAGCTGCGTTCCGTCATTCACTGCAAATACTGAAAATATCTATAATTTACGTTACGTATACTATAGATTTTTTTTTACTAGTGGTGTATACCGGAATACAGCCAGTGAAAAGTAGAAATCTACCTTGTGCACTGCGTTATCGCCAGTCGATTCAATTGTTCAGGAAGGTATATGCTATATTTTGAGACTTGTAGCGGATAGAGAAGAGTCGTACCATGAGCGAATAGAATTTGTTTATCGACAACTCGTGTATCTGTCAATACTCCTATCAATGCAATATAAACTTTAATCTCTTTAACTTACTTTTTATTTATTTTTTAGTTCTAAGATTTAGAAAAAAAATTTTTCAAATCAATTTTAAAAATCACAGAATTTTATTTTTTTCTTTTATATATGTATTATAGAAATGGCTATGACATCACAAGTAACTTTAAACTGACAAGATATTATCAAAGACCAATAGAAGAGAAAAGCCTGAGAGAGTGGACGTGCCTGCGTTTTCAATGGTGCCCGTCTACTGGCGGCTTTATGTGCACAAAGTGTACACATAGAACTATATAGCCACAAATATTTCCGGCGGGTAATACATCTACGATCTTTGACTTTGTTCCGTGTTACGGACATTATTTAATTTTATTCAGTACTATGATCACAGAATATAATTGCGCAACAATGCATTATAAAAATAATAACTAAAAATAATTTAAACCATAAAACATTAAAGTATAAAAGAAAAAGCGTCAAACACATTAATAGTGTTTCTATGCAAAATAAACACTAAAAAATGTAACGAAATTAAATATAATATTATAATTTATTATTATATTGAATATTACGATTTATAGATATGTATATGTACTTAAGATATTATAATGTTCAATATGATTTTTATTTAAAGTTGCATTAACTGATCGTACAAGATCTTTTACCGACGACTCGGAATACTTCTAGCGCCATGTAAAATGAAACTTTGTGATCAGCTGTGATGGTACAATCCTCAGGGACTCTCATCTGTGAGTACGAGATGAGCGTCCCGAAATACGTACCCAAGTTTATCCTGTATAACTAAACTATCCTCTAGTCTCTTGGTGATATAAATAAATAGACACATGCATATTTTAATTATTCATATCTACTTGGAAACATGAGAAATTAATGATATCAATTATAACTATTATATATAATTGACTAGTACTATTAATTATATAATTGGAACTCAACTTTACTCAAACTATATAAAAATTTTAAAAGTGAAATTTTTTAGATCAATCTAACAACTTTTTAAACAATTTTTCTGATATCTATTGTTACTACATTTTGTATTTTATATTTTGATAAAAGAGTTGTATTTTTAATTAATTATATAAATCTAAAATCAAATTTGTTATTGTAATATTTTTTTGAGAATATATAGGTGGAGAATGAAAGGTGAGGATTTATATAAAATAAGTGAAAAGTGCGAAATAATTTTTTTTTTATTTAAGGCTCTTTGTTGTAAATTCTCTCTCAATAAAATGAATCAAATTTAATTATCACATTTTCTTTAATCTTACCACTCGTGAAGCCATGTTATGTGGAAAGACTCGATAAGTATGATACCGTTTACAGTGTCTTCACAAACTTCTATCTTCATTAAGTGCACGCGTATTCCATGCTTTTTAAACTGAATTTTTTCGGAAACAAAGCCTCGGACGAAAAAAAGTTTATTCTTCATTTTTACTTATTTTTGCAAAAATCACGCTTTGTCTGAGTGTATGTTTTTCTCCTCCTTGTACATTGGATATAATGTATTTTGAATTTTTAATACTAACTAAATAATATCTGATTTATGTAAGATTAACGTTTATTCATAAATGTACAGAGACTGCCAGCCAAATTTATATCAATAAATACATGTACACAATTAATTACTCTCTTCAATGATACAAATTAAACAAAGTATAAAATTATTGAATTTCTTCGATACGATGAGTGCAGAAAGAGCGTAGCGACGAGACACGTTTGTTCAATTAATAATCTAGCAACACATTTTTTTCATATTTGAAACTTTTGTAAGTACAATCGCAATAAATAGATACATTTATTTTCATGCAAATATCACGTTAAAGCATCGAATATAAGTATAGATGTTGAATTAGTCGCTGTACATAATAATAAAAACTTGTCATGAATTTATCGCATAATTTACTGATTCTACACTTTCGCTTTTGTTTGAGACTTTTAACATTTCTAAAAAATTCCACGTTTATTATAATTATTAGAATGTAAATTATAGGATGTAAATTAAAAGAATTATATTAATACACAGAAAAAACAGTTTTGCTGAAATATCTAAAAATTTAGTTGGATACAGATCTGAAAATAATTTTGTTTGGAATATCGAAATAATTGTATAGGGCACTCAAACTAGTTGCTAGAATGTTAAAACTTTCTGCAGCATTGTCATCAACGCTTAACGTTCTATATCATTATTTTGATAGCCCAACAAAATTATTTTTATCGTATAGATCTGTATTGAGTTGAATTTTTATATACTTTAGCAAAATCGTTCTTCCTGTGTATTTTAAGCGCATGATATCCTATAAATCCTTTTTTTCCTATTTTATTGTTTATGAAACAACGAGAAAAGACTAAAGACACAAAAGCTTTACACAGTCATAGAAATTCAATATAAATCATACAAAAATTGGCAGTGATGTACGAATTAATAAAAGAAAACCCATAAGAATAAATTACAAAATTATATAATCCTAGCGAGCTTTTATTTCGAATGATACAATTAGTCAAAAACATTATATAAAATTGTATTTTATTGTGCGTAAAATATAATTATAAAAAGATATCGTAAATTTTAGTTACAGAAATATCATGAAATTTCTTTTTGTTACATCTAACACGTTTCTAAAAAATTCTCTATGATTGTCCGAAAAGAATCGCCCGCGTCCCTATATTTGGCACGTGTCTCGTCGGCTCCGCGACGGGAAGTACGGAAGGAAAGTGAGTGTTGATATGACGCTGATGGACGATCGCGTGTTCACCACGTAGGTGTCGGCTGACCGCGATCGCTTTAGAGGCGAATACCGCGATTGGTGCTGGCCACGTAGTTGAGCAACTCCTCAGAGTCCTCGCAGACGAACGGTTTCTCATGATAACACGCGACGTCGTGCCAAGCGATGCCGTCGTTGTAAACGTTGTTCAGGACGGACAAGCAGGATTCGTTGGTGCCGTTGATGTCATACTCAGCATTATCCGGCTGCCTGACCTTCTTGTGGCCAGTCTGCGACCACGGATTGAAGCCCCAACCGTTTGGCGCTTGGTTGGTGGGTGCCATCTTCTCGCGATTCGCCGACCAGAACCAACCGTACAAAGACTTGGGCTCGAGGTCGCGTCGGTTCTCGCAGCCCTTGAAGTCGCAGAGACGTCCAGACGTCCAGATGTAAGGAACATCGTCTGAGGGGAAAAATAGATTTTGCATGAAATCGATTGCTCGTCGAAAAGGGACTGAAAATATTTTCGACGTAGATTTATAATAGTAACCGTTAAATTAGAAATTTAATTTATTTTCCGTAAATATAATCCAATAAAGTTTGTGTAATCAAAATTAACTTTAAACTATTTAATAAACAACTACATTATTATATAGCCATTATATTAAACATAATATTCGAACTTTTAACTCTCGCGATAACTTTTACTACTATTTAAAAATTAAAATGGATTACAAAAGAAAAAAAAGCATTTTTAGATATAACAGAGATACTCTGTAATTTATAATTTTTATTAAATCAAAGCATGATTATAGAGAAATCACCCTAAACTGTAAATCAGTATACGGACTGCGGGTGTAAAAGGTTTACCAAGCGTATAATTAAACGAGAAGGCTGGTCACGTATTATTCTTAAGCGAAATCAACTCGGTACCATCTTACTTTCGCCGGACTGTAAAAAGATTAATGCACCGCGTGATGCTGTTATATAAAAAGATGAGAGTCTCTAGCCTCAACCCACTTCAAGACCCCCGCATTACCTTGAAAACTGTCGTTACACTCACCGACTAGCCTCCCACGTCGTGATGAATATCGTTCATGATGAGCAGGTATCATCACAATTATGATAATTGCGGTTAGAGGCGACAGTGAAATCCGACAAATGTTCCGGCAATTTGTATTAATTCTTGGTAACTACTTATTCAATTTCTGATCCATGTGATTGACATTGCGGTTTCTAATTTTTCTAGTCATTGATTAATTTTTTATTTTTCGATTAATTATTTCTGTTTTAATTGTTAAAGTAATTAAGTTGTCTGCGTCATTAGAGGAATCTTTGTGTCTTTATATAGAAAAAGATGAAAAATAAGTTAAACTTAGATTACAGTTAATTTACATTAATGAAAACTGGCATATTAATCGTTTTTTCTAATCGAATTTTAAAATTTAATTTTATGAAATAAAATTAAAAATTATTTCTAATTATTATAAACATAATAATTATTAAATAAATTAAATAATTAATAAATACAATAATATAATTGAAATAAGATAAAAAATATATCATAGTTTGATTTATAAAAAAAATTTTCTTTAACGGTCGGATGTATCGATAGCAATTACAACTTGCATCATTCAAATTTAACAAACCATTTTAATGCTAAACGAGGAAGAAGCAATGTAAGTAAAAGCAGCTAAGACATGTAAAACCCTTCGATCGATTAATTACACTTTCGGTTCTCGGATGCGCTTAAACGCATCGCGCTGCAGCCAAAAGGTCGTAATGAAAAGAAGGAAAGGATAAAGGGAAACATCGTCGTTAATCATCCGAATCGGAGACGCGATGATGTTCCACGTCGGGCTGCTTATTTCGAAATACTGCCGAATGATTATCTCGCATGGATGAAAGTTGCCGTGGTAAATCGCCGTGTTGGTGTCGATATTTACGACTCGCTACTATCGTCACAGATTGTACGCCGTGTGAGAACTTTCTAAGGCTATTCTATCAAAAGGACCAGTGGATTTACCCTTCTCGAGTGAATTCAAGAATTTGTACTCCCTTGTTCGTATTCGACAGGTTGCAATGCGTTAATAAATTACAGGTGAAATAAGAAGAACTGGATCCGATAAGCAATACCTTGTGTTTGTTATCGATCGAGAGATGTAATCAGAAAATGGTATTCTATTAAATATTTATAGGTCAAATTACAATAATTATGCAGTTTCTAGAATCATTTAATACGTAAATTAGTCTCCATTATAATGGTAGATTTAACCGATTATGAAGCAATGCTTACAGATCGCAAACCTAAGAATTTCTCTCATCGTGAATAAAATATTTTTTAAATCAAATAAGTAAGAAAGCGTCATACATGGTCGAGACTAAATATTGATAGGTAATAATATTTTTTATGTAAATTTGGAATACATCTTTCAGTTATTTAAACTGTGCGCCGATTACTGTCAAACTTGCAACGTAATCACAAACTAAAATAATCTCGCATAAATTAAATTGATCGTTGATTTGAAAACAATAATAAAGTATTTGATAATAATAAAACATTTTTTCTTTCAACGAAGATGTTTACTAAAATTCCTTTAACTGCAAATACGACCTCATGCTGCGCTTTTCTTTGTTCACAAATAAAACGAAGTCGCTGCTCTGTTACTTCGTCCTTCGATTATGCATTGATCTCTAATTTGCAATGTGGAACAGTAAGAATGATTCACAAAGGAACGAGGCGCGTATACATACGTCGGCACGTTTCATGAGAGTTCGATCGTTGCGAGATAAATTATACTTACTCTGCTGGATGAGCCTGAAGATCATATTGTTTTCTTCTTGAGTTTCTATCGAAATGAGATCCATGCAGTATTCTCTGCAAATATTTCTAGCGTCTAACCAATCCACCTTCTGATTGGCATGGGCCGGTACATGCCCGCTGTAGAAATAGTTGTGCCCTCGGAAGTTAAACTGCTTCGGCCCTGTAAAGTGTTTTATTATATAAAATTATTTTAGTATTCTATTTCTGTAACTATATCATTTTTTTAATTACTTATTTATAATTCAAGCGAAGAACGAATGATTTTACCGAAGTATCTAATTATCAATTTAATTAGATACTCACTAAATTCTTTGAAATGTCAATCTAAAGAGTAAAAATAACCAGTTATGAAAAAGAGTGGTTTAATTTTCAATCTTTAAGAGTGAGATTTCACTCTTCAGAATGACATTTACTCTAAAAGTTTTAGAGAATACACACTGACCCAAAAATAATTTTGTTGAACTATGAAAATAGTTGTGCAGAACGTTTGAGCTAGTTGTTAAACTGTCAAACTTTTTTGTATCATGCTTGAATTTTTTATACATAATTATTTTGATACTGCAATGAAATGATTTTTAGATCTGTTATTTATCTAAATTTTTAGATATTTTAGCAAATTCGTTTTACCGTGTGTTATATACGTTATTTCTGTGTTATATACATTATTTCCAATAGAAGGTGAGATTCGAGAGTGGATAAGAATCTGAAGTAGCACTGTATCGTGTCTATAAATGTGAAGAGTATTAGCTTCCCTATTATCATCGTATTATTTATGGAGGTGTCATTCGAGGCTTTGCAGAAAGAATGGTAAATCGATGATTATATCAGATCTCGCAATTGCGCCTTTCTTTTCTGTTAACAGATTCTCGATTTAACCGGTGGTTAATAGTTCAGGGGTCAAACAGCTGTTGCGATAGAGTAATCTGCAGATCTATACTTTCCGCGACTGAACGTGTCTGGCTAAAGTCGACCGACTCCACTTGACTGCAAAAAGATCTGTTTTATCTACTTAAAAGGTCGAAATATCCTTACAGAAAATATCCTTTTCAGAATTCGTCGACTATCAATGTTTCTTAAATAATTAACCTCATCAAGCGCGCCTCATAATAGTATATTAAATGACTATTTTTCCTCGTATCTCGTATTTTAATTCGTATTTTTATTGGCATCACATATATAGTATAAATTATATTTTGTGTACACAGAAAAGAACGAAATTGCTGAAATATCTGAAAATTTAGCTAGTTACAGATTTGAAAATAATTTTGTTGGATCATCAAAATTATATGTAGAATCAATGCTTAAGCATTGATGACAATGCAACAAAAACGTTTTAACGTTTTGGCGAGTTTAAGCATTCTACATAATTATTTTGATAGTCCAAACCAAACTATTTTCAGATTTGTATCTAGCCAAATTTTTAGATACTTCAACAATCATTTTTTTCTATATATTTAATAAAAAACAAAACTTATATGTCCGAACCTTTTTCAGAGAAAAACTATAGATACGTGAATGCCAGAAAGGAATGCCAATCAAAACAACAAACAAAAATATATTTCTCGATCAATGTTGCTTTCAAAACATGTGACGTGTAGTAAGGAAAGGAAAGCAATTTATATAATATTTTTCCATAAATTTAAAAAATTGGCAAACAAAATACGTATGTTTCTTTGAGTTACGAAAAAATGCTTAATAAACTTAATTGAAATCTTCCACGGTTTCATGTGTAGCATTCTCTACGTTGCTGTCGCATCGATGCAGTCCGCTATTTCTCTCGTACATTTCGCAATTTTCTCAGAGTTCTTCCACCAAACGCTACCAGGCACATGTTTCGTCCAGAGTCTCAGTCGGGACCGCTAAAATTAGCGCGTTGTTTTATTCCGCGGACAGGGAATCTGTAATCGACAGCGGCACAGCGGCAGCGCGTCATTATCATCCGCTTTAAATGTCAACAGTCTTACACTTTTTCCCGGTATTTATGCAGGTATGCCTCTCCCCGTCGACGATTTACGACGTGTGTCTCATTATGAGCGCCTAACGCCGTATTACGAAACGTATACGTGCACATGTATTATCGGGCTGCGTTACAAAGAGCATCTCTCTTTCTCTCTCTTTCTCTTCCTCGCGCTGTGACATAACGTTTTATATTTCGTTGCGTGTACGATCCCCTCGCCGCGCTTTTTCTTCATCTTTTTCATCCTCTTTTTCGAGTGACTTCTCCATTCGTTATGACATTCGTAACATATATTTCGCCGTTATTACGATGACGCCAATATCGCGCGATTTTACGCGGTTTTAAATATCTGAGACACACATCTCTTCAAATATGTTTTTATGAAAAAAGGTTCAAGAGAGAGATTTCAAAAATTTAAAGAGATTAAAAAAATTTTAATTTTTAACCTATTCCGTCAATAAAGACGTTCTAATGAACAATAATTTACTTAAAAAGTTTTAAAATTAGATTATACTTTATTAGAAATAAAAATTATTATATTATATATACAGTATAGAAAAATTATTATTTGCGTAAAATAAGATAAGTCACTATAATTACAATATTAAATATTTGGAAAATATTTAAAAATACTCCTGGATACACATTAAAATATGTGACAACATTTCTTCCATGATTCAGAGAAGCAACAAATATATATGCAAAGTATACGATTAATATTTAATGCTGGTTAAAATGACTAAATTTATATAGTATCTTCTTTTTTGGCAACTTGTTGACTACGGCCGCGGCGTTATGTTAATTGAAATTTATTACACGGCGTTGTATGTGTATTATGTAAGAGATAGCCATCAAATTTGAATAAAACGATTGAGTCGATTGTATCTCCAAGCATCTCGGCGCCCTTTACATTTTACTGCTTGCGTGTCCTTGTCCACGTACGTTTTCAGTCAATTGATGATTTCGTCTGGTATTCGTGAGAGATTCAACACGCTAATGTTAAAGGTCGATAACATCAATGGCGACTTTACAAGCAACCGCTATTTTTTGTATCTGTTTTGTACCATTGTAATTTAACAAACGGTTATCCTTATTGCCGCTTTTGTAGTCTCGGTCCATTTGTAACAATCCACAGAAGAACATGTAGCTCTCTCTGGATATCTTGTCTCTTTTAAAGAACAGCTGTAGTTTCATACAGCTGCACGGTAATAATTTAAACAATCTTTCGCAAATAAGTATTGATTTCTAATAATTAGATTTCGAGTCGTTAATTTCTGATAAAATAACAAATAAAAAAAGATAAACGATTATATTTTCTGACAAAAAAAAATGATTTAGGTATCTTACCTTTTTCGAAAAAAACGACTAATTTCACATACCTAGTTGTACGGTAATAATTTAAACAAACTTTCGTAATTAGTAAGATTTCTAATAATTACATTTTATTGTTGTAATTTCTGATAAAATAATAAACAGAAAAAGGAAGCATGACGCAATTGATACTTTTGCCGGAAAAAGTAATAGTTTAAATTTTAATTGGAATATCCTTATGTGAACAAAGTTTCTTTGCGAATGAATCGTGCCAGCCACCCAAGCGTTCAATTCGAGATTCCGCCGTGGAAAGGCAATTGTGTTGCGTGTATCGAGGAAGAAAGACTGTCTGTCAGGATTTACGACATAGGACAAAGTCGTGATTCCCGTTGTCAGTATAAATTTAACGAAGACTTCGCATCTATGTGGAAGATAAGAATTTTATATCCCAGTCGCATCATTCTCTCGCTCATAGCGTTTGATACATGGGACTTGAATCAAATCAAATGTTTCGTAACACAATCGTTCTAATTATAAACAATTCTTTTGTAGCATTTCACATGATGTAGCTCAAAAATATAATAATAGTTTCCAAAAATCACAAGTTAAAAATGTTATAAGATAAAGATGTTAAATGATTTTCAAACACACAACCAAAAGTATAAACTGTTAATAAATTTATTTAATACGAATCCCTTCTCGCTAATATTTTTTATAATAATAATAATAATACACATACATATATGGAGTGTTTTAAAATTCTTGAACATAATTTCAATTAAGTAACAGATTATATATATAATATATATTATATATATAAATTAAACTTTGGTTTCTTGAGCATGATTTATTTCTTATATTTTTACTTTCTTTTAAAACATGTAAATATCGTAAACTTGTATTATATTATTCTAGCTTGTTTTATATATAAATTATTAAATTGTTTATTTAAATTAAATCTTTCTTTTTACACGACTGTAATACCAGTGACGTCGTATATATGTATCTTTATTTCCGTGTCTGATAATAGATAAATCGTTGTATTTTAATACCGATGATAAATAGTCGATACTGAAATATGAACAGGTATCGATGTCGATGATAGTTTCTCAAGAAAATTGATGACGGAAACGTGATGTTTGCCGCCTCGTGAATATTAAGAGCTATTAAATAATCGTAAAATATAACGACACGTCGCGTTACTTCTGATTAATGGATAGATACTTAATTTTCAAAGACTATCTCACAAGAGTAATACTCGACCAGTCCCGAAGTAGGATATTTATAAATAAAACGAAAAACACGGCTTACGTAGGTAAGCATTTATCGCGATATTGCAGCCGTACTTAGAAAGTAATTTACGCTTCCATTGATCGGAGTCACGTGAGGCGATTTCAATGTGTTAAATAGTGAGACGAGCCAATCACGTGTGTAACTAACACTATGCACCTCGACTATGCATCGAGCGGAAATTGAAATGTAAATATTATAAAATATACCGTCATCACGGCTATTCTCGTCTAGATCGATAATCTTCATTCCACGTTGTGAATCTTGTCATATATCTGTCACAGTAATATCTATGATCACTTACCTGTTCATTGTTACATAAAAAGAACTATTTTATTGAAATATCTAAAAATTTAACTAGATACAGATCTGAAAATAATTTTATTAGATCATAAAAATAATTATGTAGGAAACTCAAATGTAATAAACAATGCTGCAAAAAAATTTAATATATAGCTTGTGTGTGTGTGTGTGTGTGTGTGTGTGTGTGTGTGTGTGTGTGTGTGTGTTCTACATAATTATTTTTTTAATTCAACAAAATTATTTTCAAATTTAACTAAATTTTTAGATATTCTAGTGAAACCATTTTTCCATGTATCAAT